GAAGAAAAGTAAAACTAAGGAGAAATTTCTGACAGTTAGAAGAATTAATCCGCGGAACAACTTGCCTCCAGAAGTTCTGAATGCTCCAACACTGGAAGTTTTTAAGAAGAGATTGGAAAACCATTTCTCTGAAATGGTATAGGGTTTCCTGCCTAAGCAGAGGGTTGAACTAGATGGCCTCCAAAGTACCTTCCAACTCTGCTATTCTAGTCTAGTCTAGTCTAGTCTACTCTATTTCTATTTCTACTGACAGAGAGGCTTTCTGTTCTGAAGAGCATGCCCCTCCATCTCCCTAATTTTAAAATATATATTGTAGATATCCTGACAATGAAGAAAGCAGGTTTTATCCCTGCTGTCCACATCCTGCAAGAGGCAGGAGTAAACGCAAAGCATGGCAAATGTACAAAGGGGCCCAAAACTGTTACACTTGCTACGCTGAAAAGACATGACATTGATCACTGTGATTTGACTCTTGATGGGTGGGTATGATGTACATCCATGCATATGTGTACTAAACAAAGGTCAAGAACTGTATCACTGCATATCGCAAAACAATTAAGGTCCAATCACAAGCCCAGTCATGAAGTAACATATAGCTACTGTCAAAAAATAAGACTCTTGCCCTAATATGATCAAGAAAAAAACCAAGGAATGAAAACTTGAGGAAAAGGAATGAGAATGCCAAAAAAAATTTTTTAAAAAAAATTAAGGATTTAAGTCAAGAGCTTAAATGAAAACAAATTAAATATATACCAAAAATAGGAATCCAGCTAAGGTGCTTAGACCAATGGATGACAAGAAAACAAGAAGAGTTTTAAAATAGGCAAGGAAAATATACCAAAATCAACTACTTTATTTGTTGCCAGTTTCTAAATTGGGGATTTTAGAAAGGGTGTTTGAGTGAAAACAAGAGGCAGCTGAAGTTTGCTGAAAAATCAAAAGCGGACATGTTCCTAGGTCCAAATTGAACTCACCCAGCAATTGTAAAAGAATGCAGATGTGAAATTACTTATCTTTTAACAAAAACATGTGGCGTATCTTGAAGATCAGCTGTTATACCAGAGGACTGGACAGCAGCCAATGTTAACATCTTTTTTTTTTAAGGGATCAAGGGAGGATGCAGGAAATTACTGGTTTCTTATCTTAATGTTCACTCCTCTAAATTGGTAAAACCATTATATAACAAAGTGTCAGGATAAACATACACAAAAACCAACCAAAAATAATTTCTTAGAGTTCTCTGTCTGTGTTGATGAGAGCCTCTGGACACAATGATCCAATCAACTATGTTTATGTGGCTTTTAAGGGCTTTTCATGAATATCTCCCAGAAAACGTAACAATGATGGAACAAAAAGAACATTATTGTGTTACTTGGTAACTGATTAAAGAATAAGAAATCAATTAGGAATAAAGGGATAAGAAGGAAGGAAGGAAGGAAGGAAGGAAGGAAGGAAGGAAGGAAGGAAGGAAGGTAGGTAGGTAGGTGGGTGGGTCTATAAGACATGTCTGATGTGAGAGAATGAACATGTAAATCAATGCAAAGTGATGTATTTTGGGTAAAAAGAATTTAGGTTCCTATGCATGCTGATATGATCTAAGCAAATAGTGGCTGATTTTAAAATGATGAGACACCAGGGCATGCATACATACATAAATCTACCACATCTCAAAAGTGATTTTGAAAAGTTTAAAAAGGGGCAGAAAATAAAGGCAAAATTATCCAAGCTAAACAAAAAAAGCATATTGTGGTGCTTACTGGCGATAATCTAACTTCATCAAATTGTACTCCAAAAGAGTTTAAGCTACGTCTAAGTACCATAAAGCTACTAATTTTTTGTTGCAACTATCTTTTGTAACAGACTGACAAAACTGAAGCTTTTTTCACTTAGGGAACAAAAAAAAACCCTAAAATGGTTCTAGCCCAGCAGGTGTTTTTTTATTCATATTTATATCTTCTGATTTATTTACATACTTAAAAATTGAAAGTTATTAATCCCTTTCTTCGTTTGCACTCTCACCCGTATTCACTCTCAGCTTAACACAACTTTCTGGGCAGCTTTCAATGCAAAATTCATATCCAACACTGGATGCCGCAGGAATACCTTTAAGCACAACCTCAATCATTTGAAGAAACAAAATAAATACAAAAAAACATTTTTCTTTCTATCTATCTATCTATCTATCTATCTATCTATCTATCTATCTATCTATCTATCTATCTATCTCCTAACAGCAGGTGGCAGCACTTAGTCTACCTTGCCTGATCTCAAACATAAATAAATAAACAGGGTTGAAGCTGCTTAATATGTGGAAAGGAGACCACCAGGAAAGGCCAGGTACACAGGCATAACAAGCTGTTTTTACACGTACACACATACACACATACACGTACACACACACACAAAGAAGGCATTTGAAAACAGCTTCCCTGTTTGGGATGGATGGATCCCAGGAATCGAGCTTAACTCGCAGGACGCTCGGTGTCCCTTCCCTCCAAAAAAATGTCTGAAGTCCATGGTGGTCCCACAGCCTGGGGCTCAAACTTCATCTCCAACCATCCTGGCAAATTTTCTACAAAAACAATCTGCATTCCAGCTTCACATTGGCCACACACACACACACACACACACACACACACAGAGAGAACAGGCAATCCATTTCCTGGGGTTGAATTCCACCACCTTCCAGGGAGTCTTCCTGTTGATCAAGGAAGACAAACCCTTCGCAGGGACTGTGTGTCTCATTCCAACTTTGCTGGAGAAAGACTCCGCCAAGATGCCAAAGCAAAGATGCCCAGCGGTGCCTGGTGTGTTGTTGTGCCTTCCCTTGTGCTGAACCACCCACCAATGGGGGCTGCAGGTGCTGAGGCTCATCGCCCCTCCTTCGCTTCCCTCCCTCTCTCCCCACCACCCCACCCTCCCCAAAAAATACATTCCTGTCTAGGAACATCTTGTAAAGATGCTCCTAGCAAGTGGGAGCCGGGTTCAGGCGCCTTGAAGGAGAAAGCTTCAGTTGCGCATTGCTGTTGCTGGGGTTGCTGCTGCTGTCGCTGTTGAACACACACACCCCAACACACACACACACACACACCTCCCAACTGCACGGGGTTTTTCCCCCACCCACCCCCAAAAAGGAACCAGGATCAAAACCCGGGCAGAAGTCAGGGGGCTGGCAGGGAAAGGCAAAAGCAGCAGCACTGCTAGAGGGAAAAGAGGGAGGGGGTCCGACCAGGAGTCTTGAAAGACCCCATTTTCACCGGAGCAGTCATTGCAATGGGGAAACCCACAAGAGGCACTGCCAGCCCTGCAAAGGATCTTTCAGACAACACCAAGGGATTGTCACCACCCCCAACACCCCATCCATCATATCCATCCATAAAATGCATGTTTGTATATATGTATGCATGTGTCTGTCTGTCTGTCTGTCATCAATGTTTCTCTATATCTCTATTTCTTTATCTTCTCCAATACCTGTCTGTCTGCCTGCCTGCCTATCTATCATCTAGTTAAGATATCATCTAGCTAGCTAGCTATCATCTCCAATGTTTCTCTATGCCTCTATCTTCTTCACTACTTGTCTATCTATCCATTCATCCATCCTCTATCCATATCTATCTTCTTCTCCAATACCTGTCTGCCTGTCTGTCTAGCTAGCTTAGCTATCATATCTATCTATCTGATCTTTCTCCAATGTTTCTCTAGATCTGTTTATCTTCTCCAATACCTGTCTGTCTAGCTAGCTAGCTATCATCTATCAATCTCTATCTATCCATCCATCATTTCCGATGATTCCCTAGATCTCGATTTCTTTATCTTCTTCAATACCCGTCTGTCTAGCTATCATCTATATTTACCTATCTATCCATCTATCTCTCATCTCCAGAGAATCCAGATTCTCTAGATCTGTTTCTTTATCTTCTCCAATATCTGTCTGACTGACTGACTGACTGTCTAGCTAGCTATTGTATCTATCTATCTATCTATCTATCTATCTATCTATCTATCTCTCATCTCCAATGTTTCCCTACATCTGTTTCTTTATCTTCTCCAATACCTGTCTGACTGTCTAGCTAGCTAGCTATCATGCCTGTCTGTCTGTCTAGCTATCGCATCTATCTATCATCTACCTACCCACCCACCCAGCCATCATTTCCAATGTTTCTCTAGAGCTGTTTCTTCATCTTCTCCAATACCTGTCTGACTGTCTGTCTGTCTAGCTATCATATCTATCTATCTATCATATCTATCTATCTATCTATCTATCTATCTATCTATCTATCTATCTATCTCTCATCTCCAATGTTTCTCTACATCTGTTTCTTTATCTTCTCCAATACCTGTCTGACTGACTGACTGTCTGTCTAGCTAGCTAGCTAGCTACCATATCTATCTATCTATCTATCTATCTATCTATCTATCTATCTATCTATCTATCTATCTATCTATCTATCTATCTATCTATTTATCTATCTATCTATCTATCTATCTATCTATCTCTCATCTCCAATGTTTCTCTAGTTCTCTGTTTATCTTCTCCAATACCTCTGTCTGTCATCTCCAATCTCTCTCTCTCTCTTTTTCTCTTTCTCTCTCTTTCTCTTTCTCTTTCTCTCTCGCTCGCTCTGAAAGGAACCGGCTTTCTTCCGAACACCATCATCATCCGCTTCCCGTTCCCGTCCCTCCTGCCCGCCTGGGTCGCCCATCCCGCAACCCACCCACCCACCCACGCGGACACGCAACACCTCCCCCCCCGTGTCCGTCCATCCCTCGTGGGGCGGAGGGGGGGGGACAAAGACCAGCGAGAACTGCCCCGAGGCACCTTTTCCTCACCCTACACACACACACACACACACACACACGCACACAAAACATATCCGCATCTCCGCCTGCCCGCCCCGTCCGGGCCCCCGCATGACGTGGCAGCCGCGTCCGGTGCACACGTCGGCCTTGACACGTGTCTCCGCCCGCTCGCCCGCCCGCCCGCGGCTTCCTTAGCTTACCAGTTCCCGGCGGGCGCCTCTCGGCGGAGGAAGCCTTGGCCGGGCTGCTTCGCTTGTTGTCCCCCGACGACGGGCAGCGTCCGGACGGCGTGACCGGGACGGGCAAGACGGCATCCGCTTGGGACGCCGGCGGCAGCGGCAGGAGGAGCAGCAGCAGGAAGAGCAGCAACGGCGGCGGCGGCGACAGCCGAAGGAGCTGCCTGGACCGGCGGCCTCCGCCGCCGTCGCCCGCGGGTGCCGGGGAGCCGGTGAAGCGCATCGGGGCGGCGGAGCCGGCACCCTCCAGCTCCGCAATGGGCGCCCTCCCGGCGGAGCCCGCGAGCCAGCCACCGCGCCCCGCCCACCGCCTCGCCCCGCCCACCCGACGGCCGTGGCCGTTGCTGCTGCTGCTGCTGCTGCTCGCGCTGCCGCTCGAGGCCGGGCTACGCGCAGGCGCCCGGAGTGTCCTTCTCCTCCTCCCCCCCCCCACAGCCACAGCCGCATCCCCGGCGAGCATGCGCAGACGAGGGCCATGACGCCCAAACCTTGCCTCTCTCTTCCCTCCCACGCGTCAGCGCTCTGATCCTGAACTGCTGTGGGGAGGAGGGGGGGGGGGAGTTAGACCTCGATTTACGACGGTTAGGAGCTGTTCAAAGTTACAGCGGCCCTGAAAAAAAATGGAACAAAAAAATTCCACACATGATAGATTTTGACACGTTACACATTACTGTAGTGTTACAGATTGACCGAGTTGGAAGGGACCTTGTAGGTCATCTAGCCCAACCCACCCTCCCCAAGCAGAGACTATACTTTCTATAGTATCCCAACTCGAGAAATGCACTCAGACACTGGATGCTTTTCAAGAAGAGGCTGGACTGCCATCTGTCAAGAAATGGTGTAGAAGAATCTCCTGCTTGGGCAGAGGAGGTTGGGCTAGATGACCTACAAGGTCCCTTCCACCTCTTGTTATTTTGTATTCCATAATATCCATGCTTCTATAGCAATTTAAATTTCTTCTCTTGGCTTGGTCACGTTTGAGAGCCAGAGAAAAATAGTCTCAAAGGAGGAAAAATTAAGTCTTTCAAATCTGATTTGACTTCACTTTGATGTGGAAAGGAAATTCCATCTTTCCTTTCATCCGAAAAGGATTTATTTTTTTTATTTTTTTATTTTGTCAAGCGATTATAAGATAACAGGTATAAGTATAAACATAGGTATGAATACATGAAATGGGTACATATAAGAAAAATAAAAGTAACAATAGGACAGGGACGGTAGGCACGTTGGTGCGCTTATGCACACTCCCTACAGACCTCTTAGGAAAGACGTGAGGTCAATAGTAGACAGTCTCAGGTTAAAGTTTTTGGGGGTTTGGGGAAGAAACCACAGAGTCAGGTAGAGTGTTCCAGACATTGACCACTCTGTTGCTGAAGTCGTATTTCCTGCAATCAAGTTTGGTGCGATTAACCTTGAGTTTGTATCTATTGTTTGCTCTTGTATTGTTATGGTTGAAGCTGAAGTATTCATTGACAGGTAGGACATTGCAATGTATGATTTTATATACTATACTTAGATTGGACCAAAGATGGTGTAGTTCTAGCTTTTCTAAGTCTGGTGGCATAAGGTATTCTACAATGAGTAGAGGAGCGAAGAACTCTTCTTGTAAAATATTTCTGGACTTTCTCAAATGTGTTAATATCAGATACGTAATGTGGGTTCCAGACTGATGAGCTGTATTTGAGTATTGGTCCAGCAAATGTTTTGTATGCCCTAGTTAGTGGTGTGATATTACCAGAGAAAAAGCTACATAGGATTAGGTTAACAACTCTTAATGCCTTTTCGGCTATGTAGTTACAGTGGACTCTAGCACTTAGGTCATTTGAGATGAGTACTCCAAGATCCTTGACAGAGTTTGGATCATCAACAAGGTCTTCACTATTCAGCCTGTATTTTATTTTCTGATTTTTTTTTTGCCAATATGTAAGACAGAGCATTTATTTGATGAGATTTGAAGTTGCCATTTGTTTGACCATTCGAGGACTTTTTGAAGGGTAGCAGTATTGTCTGTGGTGATGAATAGCTTTACATCATCAGCGAAGAGAATGCAGTTGCTCTTGATATGATCACAGAGGTCATTTATGTTGAATATGAAAAGAGTTGGTCCTAGAACACTGCCTTGGGGGACACCACTGTTGACAGGCACAGAATTGGATAGGACGCTCCCAATTTTGACCATTTGTTGTCTGTTTGACAGGAATGCTTCTATCTAATAATGCAGGTTTCCAGAGATACCGTAAGATTTTAGTTTTAGGAGTAGTTTGTCGTGTACCACTGAATCAAAGGCTTTACAGAAGTCTATGTAGATTGCGTCTATTGCTTTGCCCTGTTTTGTTTTTTTGTTTTGCCATGTTTTGTTGCATTGATTTGTGTGACATCCTTCTGTCTTATTTAATCTAAAAGTTAAACTAAAAGTGACCCTACATCATTTTTGACAGATGGCAGTCCAATCTCTTCTTGAAAGTTTCAAGTGATGAAGCTCCCACAACTTCTGAAGGCAACTTCTGTTCCATTGGTTGTTCTCACTGTCAGAAAATTTCTCCTTATTTCCAAGTTGAATCTCTCCTTGTTCAGTTTCCACCCATTATTCCTTGTCTGGCCTTCGGGTACCTTGGAAAACAGCTTGACCCCTTCCTCCTCTCTGTGGCAGCTCCTCAAATATTGGACAACCGCTATCCTGTCTCCCCTGGTTCTTCTCTTCACTAGACTAGCCAGTCCCAGTTCCTGCAACCATTCTTCATATGTTTTAGCCTCCAGGCCCCTTCATCATCCTGGTTGCTCTTCTCTGCCCTCTTTCTAGAGTCCTAGGATCATGTGATCAAAATTCAGATACTGGGAGCCTGGTTTATACTTACAACCATTGCTGTGTCCCAAGATCGTAGGATTCCTCCTTTTGCAATGTTTGAACAAGCGAAATCAATGGGGAAAGCCCAATTTGCTTAACAGCCATGTTTTCTAACTTATCCGCCGTAGGGATTAGCGACATTTGTAAAGGTCGTAAAACAGGGCAGAAGTCGCCTCACAAATGTTTCACTTCACGAATGTCTCACTTAACAACAGAAAATTTTGAGGCTCGGTTGAAGTCGTAAGTCGAGGACTAACTGAGGAGAGCGTGGTAGCTAAATTATATTCATTCTCTTACTCATTCAAGATTAATCATTTATAGTATATTATTACTATCACCACATATTTCAGTTTCTTATTCTTCTATCTAACCATTCATAAAATAAATCTCAAATCTTATAGCACTCTTTTTTTCTCCTGTTCTCTAATTGTCATTGTAAGTCTATTCATTTCCACACATTCCATTAGTTTCTTAATTGTTTCCTCTGTCGGAATTTTCTCATTTTTCCAATTTTATGCAAATACAATTCTAGCTGCTGTTAATACATGTTATCTCTCTATTATAACCTTCAGGCATAAAAATTTTGAGGCTCTGTTGTAGTCATAAGTCAAAGACGAACCTGGGGAGACCATGGTAGGGAAGTGGGATTTGCATTTGGGTTGGGCAAGCCGGAGCTCTGCCTTGCCCGTTCCTTGCTCAAAGGGTTCGGTTTCCCCAGTAATGCACCTGCATTTTATTTATTTATTATTTTTTTAATTATTTTTGCCAATTGCTTACAAGATGATAGGTATAAGTAAAAATATAGTTATAAATACATGGATACATATAAGAAAAATATAAAAGAAACAATAGGACAGGGACGGTAGGCACGTTGGTGCGCTTATGCATGCCCCTCTTATGAATGGGGCGAGGTCAATAGTAGACAGTCTAAGGTTAAAGTTTTGGGGGTTTGGGGAAGAAACCACAAAGTCAGGTAGAGTGTCAGGTAGAGTGTTCCAGACATTGACCACTCTGTTGCAGAAGTTGTATTTCCTGCAATCAAGTTTGGTGCGATTAACCTTGAGTTTGTATCTATTGTTTGCTCTTGTATTGTTATGGTTGAAGCTGAAGTATTCATTGACAGGTTAAGTCATTGCAATGTATGATTTTATATATTATACTTAGATTGGACCAGAGGCACCGTAGTTCTAGTTTTTCTAGATCTAGAATTTCAAGTCTGGTGGCATAAGGTATTCATTCTGCAACAAGTAGAGAAGTGGATAATTCTTCTTGTGAAATATTTCTGGACTTTCTCAACTGTGTTAATATCAGATACATAATGTGGGTTCCAGACTGATGAGCTGTATTCGAGTATTGGTCTAACAAATGTTTTGTATGCTCTAGTTAGTAGTGTAATATTACCAGAGAAAAGGCTACATAGGATTAGATTAACAACTCTTAATGCCTTTTTGGCTATGTAGTTACAGCTAGACCACTTAGATTATTTGAGATGAGTACTCCAAGATCCTTGACAGAGTTTGGATCATCAACAAGATCTTGACTATTCGGCCTGTATTTTATTTTCTGATTTTTTTTTTGCCAATATGTAGGACAGAGCATTTATTTGATGAGATTTAAAGTTGCCATTTGTTTGACCATTCGAGGAATTTTTGAAGGGTAGCAGTATTGTCTGTAGTGTTGAATAGCTTTACATCATCAGCGAAGAGAACGCAGTTGCTCTTGATATGATCACAGAGGTCATTTATGGAGAGTATGAAAAGAGTTGGCCCTAGTACTCTGCCTTGGAGGACACCACTGTTGACAGGTACAGACTTTGATAGGACGCTCCCAATTTTGACCATTTGTTGTCTGTTTGACAAGAATGCTTCTATCCAGTTATGCAGGTGTCCAGAGATACCGTAAGATTTTAGTTTTAGGAGTAGTTTGTCGTGTATCACTGAATCAAAGGCTTTACAGAAGTCTATGTGGACTGTGTCTATTGCTTTGCCCTGATCCAGTTGTGTAGTCCATATGTTTTTGCAATGTAGTAGTTGCAGATTGCAAGATAGTTTTTTCCTGAAAAAAAAAAATTGAAATCTTTCTCTTTAAAATGCACCTCCGGGAGAGTTTACGATCCAGGGGCAAAATGAGCCTTTCTAAACCTGCAAAGGGCTCCGCCCTTGGAATCCTTTGGAAGACAAAAACTTCCTTCAACCTGCCTTTTCTATCCTGAATGATCCCGTCAGCTGGATCTCTTGGATCTTTCGCTCTCCTGACAGTTCCTAAAAAAAATATTAAGTGCCATAAAAGAATGACATGCTGTGTGCCTCTTCACAAAATATACACAATCGATACGCGAAACATTGGTTTTTGCTCCAATTCAGTGCCTTGGGCAGTATTGCTCGACTTCAGCA